GTGACGCTAGATGTTATGTGTCTGCCCCTACTGAGTTGCCTGTAGGACACCTGCTAAGCGCTTTCAAAATGATGGATTGAGATTCTTCTATTGAGAAGGGAAATTACCGTTAGACGCAGCTTTGTAGTCAGACCTGAATTTTCATCCCAACTTTGATCTTGGCAAAATATCACTTCAGAAGATACCTTCTGAAAAAGAAAAATTGCGCCTAGTACATTTTGTGGCATCAACTTACAGGCTTTAGATCGCACTATTTCCCAATATGACGCGGTGGTCCATGAGGGGTCAGTCCCAGTATTAGGTGCTAGGGGATAACACCCGACTGCCTCCTTTTAATGAAGCTGCATCAAAACAACACATTCCACGAATTGCGCACCTCGATTGCCTACCTTATCAGCAAGACAGCGCAAGCCTTCACAAATTCGTTCAGAGAATCGGTTAGCAAGCTGGAAGACAGATCTTGGGAGAAGCTGTTAGGACACATTTAGGAATACACATCTCACCTTGAATGGCTATGGCACTTTTAAGGGGGCGTTTAGCGCTTTGTGAACGTTTTTTTTTTCATGGTTCCAGGCGCCCTTCATATAGACTGAGAAACGCACCGAGCTTATTAATTTCTCCTGAGGAGGCTCCTTGAATAGGTCAAAATAGGATGCGAAGCAAAAATTGCCTCGAGGGGGTGACTATACGCGGTTGAAGATGGGTATGGCAGTCGTTTACTTGCGGAGAGTACCCCGCCCTGCTGATACTTAGACCCCTAGCATCGGCGCTGGGGTTATTTGGAGGAAATTTGCATATTAAATTTGGTAATTTGGAGAGGTTCCAATCTAAAATGCATAAATTTTGTCACCTTGCCGAATCGAATCATGAACGCCGTGTCTTCATCCACTTGCCTGGCCTTCAACGGTGTGTCGCGTGCGATTGGATGTGGGAGCGGATGCCTTCTCTCAGTACCGGACTTCTAATGGCATTGATGGCAATGGCTGGAGGGTATGACGTCACCGAGCATCATTTGTCAGGAGCGTCAAGAGGCAAGCCCGACCACATCCCAGCGCGGATTCATTCCTTCAGTTCAGTTTAGGGACGTCACCCAAACCGCCCGATCAGCACCATTATGATCACTGCTTTAAACGCTTTCCGCACTACATTAATTTTTTTGCAGTCAGAAAAAATGGTTGGGGAGTTATTGTGAGAGCGATTTCGGGTGGAGCAGTATTATCAGTTGATAATGGAGGCTGCCTTTTATTTATCACTTGACTGATCCAGTCAAAGGGTGTGTCATAGGACGAGTTTGCCACAGCATCTCGGTTCGTCTTATGCTGCTTACGTTCCGGCGCTTCGAGTGATTTCTTCAACAAGGTGAACCGCAGCGAAGACGCCATTATGAACGCTTGAACACGTCGCGAAACGATTTAGTGATAAATGTTAGCTCACTAAATCATCTTTAACAGGAAGTGAAACATTCCGAGATAAAAGATATTAATAAAGCTGTTGGATGGTAGGTTGTGATAGCAACTGATAAGGATTGATAAAGAGAATCAGACAATATGACTGAAGACTTGGTTACACTGCGTGCGTTCGAAGCAGATTGTTGGAACACATGTGAGCTTCGTGGCGGAGACAACGACGGTATTCGCTAGAAAATGATATCTAAGCTCCTAAGGTTATGGAAATATCCTTCTATTATATAAAGCGCTAACTTTGTGTGTCGGTTTGTGTATCTGTATGTGTGTGTGTGCGTGTGTGTGTGTGTGTGTGTATGTATGTGTGTCCGTCCGCAAAATGAAGTGAGTGAGAAGGAAGCTCATGGGATAAACAAACCGCTAACAAATCGGGTAGCTTACAGGATTTGAGATATCAATGTTTTGTAGCAGGATAGTTGTGATAACACTCTTAGGGCTATATAAACACCTGCTTAGCACACTTCCGTTCATTCCACATGGTGCTGCAGTGGCAGCTGGAGGGCAGTGGAGAGAGGAAGGGAGGATGAGGAAGGGAAGCGAAAAATCTACCGTCATATCATGATTGTGTCCCTTCTACTGTATGAAACACCATTGTGTTGCATACGCGTCACTTCCAGGAGGTGTTGGTGTCACAGGAGGAAGGGACCATAGCGGAGGATAGAAAGCTTGCGCAGGAAAGGAAGGTCCCGGCGGTTGACGGGGGACTAATCTGGTAAAGATAAAGCATTGGTTGGCCGATCCATTATTGAGATGCATAACGCGTTGATCTGGCGGAAGTCTTGTAGTGGCACGCTCACCACGCGAGCGGTCCGGGGATCAAATCCTGGGTCGTGAGTCGCCCGGGCCAACCAAGCCTTCCATCCCTCCGGGGTCGGTTAATTGGTACCAGACTTGTCTGGGAGGATAAAAACACTGACCCGCAAGTCATTGTATAGGCCCACATCGCATAAGGACGCCACTACGAATGGAATTAGAATGCGTGCTGCATCCCAAAAGGGATTGATGCAACGAAAATGCTTCATCCCGTTTTTTATCGCGTATTCCATTTAGTCTTCGGAATCGTGGTGGCCTCCTGAATGGGGCTTGGTCTTTGCAATGATGATCTGGTGATGAAAACCCTGACTTGCGGATCAAATCAAATGATTTGCGGGACCAGCTGATCCGCAAATCCCGGGGTTTTCAATCTTTGACAAAAATGAGGCGATTCCTCCAGTGTGTCCGCTCGACAGAACCGCGAAATTTTTCGCAGCGCGATGCTTTTTTTCGCTTCGGTAACCCGAGGTCCACCAATGAGTAGGGGTGAACGGGTTCTCACAGTGAAGAAAGGTTTGTGAGAACACGTCCACTCCTACTCATTGGTGGACCTCGGGTTCCCAAAGCGAAAAAAGCTTCGCGCTGCGAAACGAAACAGTCATGTTCTGTCCTAGGCCCCACACCCAGCGGTCTCTGAAAAATGAAAGATTGAGCTAACCCAGACGTCATACGACCCAAGATTGGATGTCGATTGAAGAGGCTTGACCCTAAGAAGCTCGGCCAACCGCTTTGCGACTTGCAGTTAAAGCCTTCAACATGGACCTACTACTCACCTCTGTCTCAGTAGCTAAGCAAACCCCGAACTGTGAAATAAAATAAATCCGCACGAAGCCATCGATTGGCCAAGTGGTTGGCGACTTTTTTCAAAGGATCAAAAGCTGCCTGCGCCGCTTTCTGTCGTCTTCCTAGCTGTTCCTCATGCCGTTGTCCTTGCTTCAGATGAACGTAATATTAGTCCAATTTATTAGGTGGCTCCCAACCTTAATTTACCCTCCACCGGACTGACCGTTCCCCATAACTCCGTCTTTGTTTGGTTGATCATCTTAGGTCTCATTTTCGTTCCTGATTCGTTTAATCGCATAAGCATCGTCACATCTTCCGTACCGATACTTGAGAAGAGAACGATTCTGTCTGTTCCGAAGACAGAGTCGTTCTTTTCTCAGGGAGCCGTACGGAAGCTATCACGATACGAAGATCGACAGAAGTTCTCAAGTTATGCAGTGTCATTGCTGAATCGAATCATCTCAGTCAGAAAAATATCGGTCAGCTTGGGATTCTTCATCCTTTATACTTCACTACCTTTTCAGCGGACCCGGAAGCTGCGGTGGATTAACACTAACAAGGGGGTCTTTCAGGACATGGAGCGTTTTTTCAAAATGGTTACCTGAATGTTGTAGAGGCTCATGTGAGGAACACAGAACCATGGTCCATTTTTCCTGAACGCCCCAGGAATGTCAAAACAGCGGGAAGAAATGGTCCAAAGTTCGATCCTCCGTGATGACAAATTTTTGCAATTTATGTTGGCGCCTCCAAATTGCCGCAAAACACGACAATGACATCTATTCTCGACGATGGCGCCATTTGGCGGCAATCTGGGGGCGCCAAACTATATTGCAAAAATTAGTCATCACCGGGGATCGAACTCTGGACCATTTCTTCACCACTGTTTTGACATTCCTGGAGGCGTTCAGGAAAAAAAAGTTGTGTGAAGAAACGGTCCAGAGTTCGATCCCCGGTGATGACCAATTTTTGCAACATAGTTTGGCGCCCCCAGATTGCCGCCAAATATACCATCGTCGAGTATAGATGCCATTGTCGTGTTCTGCGAATTTGGAAGCCCCAACAACATTACAA